CACTCCATCCACGGCGTCCAACCCCTGGTTTCTGAGTAATGATGATTTCTGTCTTCTTGGAAAACCACGCACCTTGTTGCAAGGACTCCAAACTTATAATCACGTAGTATAGAGGATTTCTATTTACTTTCCACTGAATCTGTGGAATTCACTTACGCTTCCCCTCTGTCCTTTGTAAAACTGCTCAGACAGATGTAGCAAATGGCAGCCCAGGAGCTGTACCCACTTAAGACCGCTCTGTTTGGCCCACACAGATTTTTTTTAAAATCTGAGTAGGTTTTCACACTTAAGTGTCAAAATCAGGATTTCTGACTCATCTTAATCTGTTCTGTTTCCGTCTTGAAAGACTCAGCCCCTCCTCCTTGTTCAAGAAGAAGGCGCCCTGCTCGGCGCACCCGCCCCTCCCACACAGAACAACCACCGCCAACCTTCCAGGGCCGCAGACACTGCACCCGCCTCAGCCCAGCGCAGCCCCACGGGAACCCCTAGCACCTAGGGAACCCTCAGCCCTTCTGGAACCCCCAGCCCCTAGGGAACCCTCAGCCCCTCGGGAACCCCCAGCCCCTCGGGAACCCCCAGCACCTAGGGAACCCTCAGCCCCTCGGGAACCCTCAGCGGGTGCTCTTCCGCCTGTTTCACAGAGAAGGCTGGGGCCCGAGACGCTGCCTGCTCAAGTTCACGCCACCACACGGCCACCTGCTCCTCCTGGAAGTCTCTAACCAGCTCCTATTTCTTCTTTCACCCAAGAGTTCTTACTAAGTTTTATTTTGTTTCCCAAGTGATTATTACTGTGTTTTACCACATTACGGTCAAAAACATGTAGTACCAAGCTGTTTTTTCCTAGACTTTGCTATGGTTTTCCTGACGCCTAATTTGTTCAGTTCAATTTATATAAATATTCCACTGTCATGGAGTAGCACCTATTACAACAACTTTACTAATCCCACTGTAAACATATTTTACATCTTTATTTTTTCTGCTTGTTCTGCAAATAATTAAATTAACAAATTCCAATACTGCTAGGTTTTTATCCAGTTCTCCTGGAGTTCCATCTGTGCTTACTTCATACTGTTCGCTACTGTAAGTTTTCATATAAATATTCATACAAACGGTCACAAGTCATGGTAAGACTGTCGATTATGTGTGAACAGCAACTAAAAATAGGAAAAGCCTTCTCTGTCCCAATTGTTTTTCTTTGAATTCTATGCTTCTGATATTAGTATTAACCCCTACTTTGTAACTTCTGTTTTGCTCTATCTTGTCTTAATTTTAACCTTCTAAATACTCCCGTCCACAATATGTCTCTTCTGGACATCGTGTGGTTGGGGTTTTGCTTTCTGTCTCAGTCAAAACAGTGGGGGAGTCCCACTCATTTACGTTTTCACTGTCACACAGACGTGTGTGTTCTGCCGGTTACACCTCCTCCAGTGGGCACCATGCTTTCCTCCCTGCAGAAAGGGCACAGCCGTTCACAGTTCTGAAGTCGGGTACATTTTTTTTTTAAAGCTTATTTTGCTAACTGTCAGCTTCAAGAATAAAAGTTTCTCTTTTACGTTGAGAAAATATTCTCGGTTTGAGGGGGGAACCTCAGCACTCAACAGCAACCCAATGGCAACAGTGTTGGATTTTAGACCCTATGTCCACTTTTCAAATCGTTCAGACTACGCATCCCCTAAGAACCAACGGGTGCGCTGCACTGAACCGCGGCGACACCGTGAAGCCACAGTGCTTACACGACTCGACTCCACCAGCAGTCCTGCGGCTGCAGCTTCTCTACTCTCGGACCTATTACACATCCCGAAACCCAGGAAGTCCCCAAACCCAGGTTTCTCCCAAGTTTGGTGCCAAAAAGAACGTAGCAGCAACACGCGACCCAAAAGCACGTGAAGACAGTTTACAGTCTTACTGACTCACTTAAGTGAATGCGTTTCACTAAAAAGCCAACACCAGAACTAGGCGTGGTGAGAAATACAGAATGTGTGTGCCACACTCCCACCCTAAAACGCAACACGCTCTGACTCCGAAGCACAGCAGCGTGGGCTCACGTGCACGAATCTGCTTCCCAGCACGCCCACCGGGCGTCCCGAGGCAGCAGCGCCCTGGGGCAACAGGCAGTGGCACAACCCGCACCCAGCGTGGGAACGGGCACCCTGAGAAGCGGCTGCTCCAGGGCTGGGCCTGGTGGTGCCAACAAGTGAGGGGAGTGCCTGGCAGGAGGGCATAAGAATCCAACCAAAAGAGCTGCCAGTGGCCAAATCGACACAGACAGTATCGATTATAACCCAGCACCAATGACATTACGCTGAAGGACAACGTCAGTGTCTTCGAGGCTGTACGATATAACTGACTGCACTGATAAGGGGAGAGAAGGGACAACTCTCCCTTCCAGAAAATTCTAATTAATACACGCACAGGCGGAGGGAAATGGAAAATCACCGTTAGACCACCACAGTGATGACAGCACAGGCCAAGCTGTCCTCAGATGCGGAACAAGCGGGCGGGTGAGGAGAACGGACCCGGCGCAGCGTGGGACCGGGCTAACCTCGCCCCGTGGCCCAGCCCCCGGGAAGGAGTCTCGAGGCCTCTGGAGCGCGCCATCTGGCAGACAGGCCCCTTCAGACAGTCTGACAATGTGACTCGGGGTGGCGGCCTTGGGCCACAGGGGCAGCTCGGCCTCCGGAGGGGGTGGGGCCGTCAGCACTGACCACAGCGCCAGGGACAGGGCGGCTGGTAGCTTCGCTGGGAGTGTCCTCTGCCTGCAGCCAACTGTACCGTGTGTCCCTTTGCTGCGATAATCCATAACCATGGGTTCTGAGCCCTTCTAGAGAATTCGTGAACCCAGAGAGTCACAGGGACCCCTTACACTTGCTGGAGGTGTGAGAGTGCGGTAATCCTGCAGGTCTGCACTCCAGCCCAAAGTAGCCACCTCCAAACAGACATTTATCACTACAAAGGGAAAAGCAGGGACTTCACCATGGAGGACACAGAGGACCCCACTTCAACCAAGGGGCCAATGTCAGCTTTGCCCCAATAAGTTTACTGCATGGACCCCGACAAGATGCAGGGACAAGGGCACCTCACTTTGGGCCCCCCAAAACACACAACCTTGGTCCAATCAAGAGAAAGCACCAGACAGACCCGAAGGGAGCGACGCCCTGGACTGAAGGGCCAGCATCTCGACGGGACCATCTGGAAGGTCGAGGAACAGACACAGAGGAAGAGGCCGAGGGGCTGACCCAGGACCCTGGGCAGAAGAGGGCCCTAGGGGACCATCACGTGCACGTGAGGTCCGAGCCCATCAGTGGCCCGTGGCCCCGGTCCTTCCCCAGCTTTGTGGACACACGTGATCTCGGACCACGTCCACACGAGGGAGGGTAGGTGAAGGGCACCACAACTGGGGACAACACACATGGAAGCGTGTTTCTGCAAGTCTAAAATGCCTCCAAAGTAAAGGGTCAGGGAAACACACAGCTGGCCCCGAGGGTTCTGGAAAGGGGCTGCGGGTCTCTATTTATCTTCCCCTACCTCCTGGCTGTTACGGGACACAAGAGGGCTTTCCAGGTCACGCGGGGCAAAGGTGAGCGAGGGTAAGCCTGCACACCCCAAGAAGCAGCTCTTCCCCCGCCGTCACGTGTGCAGGCTGCACACTGGCCAGGTTCCAGATTTCTATTTCCCTGGAAAGTCGATAGTCAATGAGCGTATAAAGTACCCTGACCACCCCTGGAGGATGCAAAGAAACCAGCTAGCTCCTTATTTTGAAAACTGATTAAGAGAAAAATGTAGACATTTCTGCTGACTTTCCTGTATGAGCAGAAGTGTTCTAGCTTGAAATGGGAAAGACATCAGCGTCCTCCTGCAGCCCGATGATGAGCACTCCAGACCCGGGGCGTCCGCGGCTGGGCTGGCCGTCAGGGCCCCACAGACTCTAAGTCGAGTCAGAGCAAAGCCTCCAGCCAGAGCGCCTGGTTTACAGGAAACACGGAGACAGCGACCTGTTACCCTGAAGCGTGAGACCCGCCAACCTGACGGGGCAAACTGCCCGGCCTCCAGCGCACGCACGCACGCACACACACACGGGCGGGGCTCTGAGTGTGAAAGAGACCCCAGACATGCAACAACCAACAGGAAATACGGGCCTTACTTGGGTGATTAGAATAAACAGGCATAAAAGCATTCATGGCATCTGAAACGACTGAAAACCGGAACGCTGGCCGGATACTGACTTTAAGCAAACACGTACTGCTAACTCCTAAAGAGGTGATGACAGTGCCTGGAACATTCTTAAGTGTCCTTGTATTTAAAAAGATAACGCTGAAATATTACAAAAACAATGAAAACAAAACTGTCTCTACAGATGCCGCCCCAGAGCAGCTCCACTTCCACGGAGCTGAGGCCCCGGCCCCTCACCAACTGTGCCCTCATGGACGCCGCCACCACCACCTGCCACCGCCATCTCTGAAGCCCCCCCCCCCCCCCACAATAACCCCCCCCTCCCCACCCCGGCCTTCGGGAACCGCAGGGCTGGCCCTCCTCGGCACGAACGCTGACGGGGCCCACGCTCACCAGGGGGCACTATTTACCGCCCCAGAGAGGAGGGCGCTACCATGACGTGAAATAAGACACTGTCACATTAAGAAAAAGAAAATGTAAACTAGTATACTGCTAACCCTACATACCTTTCGATGTTTTAAAATATATTTTAGATAAATGTTTTTTATACAATGAAATCTACAAGATAACGTTATTTGAAGAATTCAGCGTCACCTTCACAAAAGGACTGACTCAGTTTCCCTTAAGCACTGTGCCCACTACCCCATTTTCAGGATGGACGGAGGAGGTCACAAACTAGCAGGTCCTGTCTAGTGTTTTTTCTTTAAATTCAAACAAGATGCCGACACTTTAAAATCAGAAGCGTTCCTGCACTGGGGATCCACAGCTCCACATGCCCCCTGGGGGGCTCCACGAGACGCGCCCGGCCCCCTCCCCGCACACAGCCTCACCTGTGTGGCTCCCAGCTCCTCTCTGCTTTTTTTCCTTGGCTAGTTGAATGGCTCGGGAATCAGTTCTTGCTGAGCCCCCGCCTTCCTGAGACCAAAGAAAAGCGTATCAGTCACGGGACCCAAACAGTAGAGGGAGGGGAGCGGGGGACCTACTGAGCGCGGAGTCTGCTTCCTGAACAGACCCCAGCAAAGGCTCAGAGAATCAAATACCACATCCAGTGACAGCGACAGCTGCACGGACTTTGAGTTGGAACCATATACGTGATTTTATTATCCAGAGAAGCAAAGTTTATTCCTTCAAAGTCTAAAACATACTAAAATATTTTACACAGAAAGTGAACTGCAGGCCACTCTGCTGTCTGACACACGGAACCAGTGTGTCCTCAGTGACCAGGACTCACTGACTGCGGCCCCTCCCCGGGTTTCAGGACGTGTCACACCACGTCCGCTGGGCCACCCCGGGGGCCCGGGCCGTGTGCCCCACGGAGGCTGCTCAGGGCAGCTGCTCCACTCGGGGTCCCACCCGGCAAAGCAGAGCGGTAAGTGCATCACTGAACTGGGGCGTTTTCCGAGGGACCTGACGTACGCACACGGGACTGGGAGCGCCGTAGCCCTGCGGACGCACTGCGAGGACACGGTGGAACCCCCATCCCCACAGAGAGAGGCTCGGGCGTACCTGCGGCCCCTTCACCACGCGCCTTCTGGGCTCACAGACGCCAGGCTGGCCCACGTCACACAGCTAGTGAGAGAACGGACAGGGTCAGGGTCAGTCTCGTGCTCCGCCGGCCCTCGGCCACTGCCGCATCCCTCACAGAGAACGCCGATTCAAAGGAGTAACTTCTCTTTATATCACGGTAAAATAAGATTTAACTTTCTGAATATAAACATCGCCATCACTTTTAACCTGCACCACAAAGAAAAACCTACTCGATCACTCCCACCTGAGGCTGAGGTAAGACGTTCTCTTAAGAATCTCTGATTAAATTACTTTAAATTATATTAAATGTATAACTGACATAAATATAGTTAAAATATATTAACTGCCAAGGCTCGCAATTGGAGAAGTGCTCTTATAACCCTCCAGAGACAAAGGCTCCCAGACCACTCCCTTTTTTTGTTGTTGTTAATTCAAATTAAAAATTTTTGCATGGTTTTAGTTTCCGTTAAGCCTTAAGAAACATTTGATGTCACAATTCCTCTTGGCCACGACTCCATCTGAGGATCTGCTATTACGTGATAAGCTCAAATGCAGAACGTTTCAACATTATGAAATACCTCAGCTTTTTTCAAGAAAAGACAAGTTATCACCAAATCACAGAACTCAAAAAGACCTTAGAAATCATGTAGCCAAAGCCCCTCATTTTAGAAATAAGTGAGAATTTAAGGCTCAGACACGTTAAGTGATTTGCTCAAGGTCATAAAAACCAGTCCGTTCCAGACTCGAGACTGGAGCTCAGATTTCCAGACTTGCAGGCGGGAGCTCCATCCTTTCGCAAACCCCTAAGAAACGTCTGCACGCAGATTAATCCAGAACACCGCACGACGGGTGTGAGACGTGACCGAACAGAGCGCTTCATACCAAGTAGAAGCCGCCGGTCCCCGCACCAAGTCCCTCGTCTTTCCGAGGTCCGAGCTCCTCTGCAGGGCTGGACTCCACAGGCCGCGGCGCCCCTCCGCTCCACGCCTGCTGTCTGACGGCGTTGGGCTCGGGGGCCGAGTCTGGCTCCACTTTGATGGGAACCAGCTGCTCCGGGGCACTGCTGTCTCCCTGGGGGCCGCTCGCAGAGGTCAAAGCCTGGGGGTCCCGACTCAAGCTCTTCACGGGCAGAGCCACCAGACAGCCCAGAGCCCCTGGGTCCACGGCCTGCACGTCACCTGCAGCGAGGCTGCCCTGCTGGAGAACCGTGGCTGCCGTCCCGAGGACGAGGGGCCTGCCCGGGCCCAGTGGGACGTCACTGTGGGCCACCAAGACCAGGGGGCCCATGGGCCCTGAGGCAGCCTGACTGGCAGGGAGGCCCCCCCCGAGAGAGGCGCTCACAGAAGTCACGTCGACAGTCAGGATCCCAGTGCGGAGCGCCTCGTCGGAGGTCCTGGGGGCACCACCGCTGTCGCCAGGCGTGTCGGAGAAAAGGACCGCCAGGTCCACACTGCTGAACTCACTCTGGCCGGGGCTGCTGAGGTCGCTGCTGGGCGCGAGCGCGCTTGGAGCTCCCAGCGGAGGGAAGACGTCTGAAAAGGAAGGAACACTCTGGTGACCTCAGGCCCTCAGAGACCAGGGAGCTCTGTATGTGCTCAAGACGTGAGCAGGCGGCCGCCGAGGGGACAAGGATGGTTCTTCCTGCCGCCGGTGCCTAGCCCTGCAGGCGACCACGCTCTGCAGCGAGGCACTGTGGGGTACACGCCCGGCGCCCTGTCCACGCTGCCCGGAGCCTCGAGCCCACAGGCATCTCCCCAGACGACGGGCGTGACCTGGGTCAACGACACTCCCCAAAGTCACACCGCCCAGAGACGGAAGAGGCAAGACTCAAACCCAAGTCCTACTGGCTTCACACCCTGAGCTCACTCCACCACGAGCAGCCACCCCAGGAGACCAAGCACCCTCACGGAGCAGACACCTGCAGGCCTCAGGCCACGCTGAACCCTGGCTCCCTGACATTCCTGGCATCAGCTATGTGGGTCCACGTCCCATCCAGCTCTCTGCCCACTTCGCGACAAGCAGCTTCTCCAGAACGAGAGGGCGCAAGGGCAGGGACGGACAGTGGGGAAAATCTGGCCTGCCGGCCCACCTGCCTCTGGGCTGGAGCAGGGCGCCCCCAGGGAGCTGCGGAGAGCGCATGTCAGACACCGCACTCTGCAGGCCTGGCCGTGGCCTCCTGGACGGAGCTGCTCCGTTTCCAGGCTCCACTGCCCCCACTGCCGCGGGTCCCAGCGTCTGTGCCCCTCAGCGGCAGACACAGGGCCTGGCCCTCAACGAGCCGCCCTCGTTCACTTCATTGCTGCCGCAGCGCAGCGCTCTCCCAATACTTGATTATTTGTGTTCAATTAAGATTTTAAGTAATCAGACTACCCTTGGGAGAATACTGAACACCAACATACTGTAAAGAAGCTTCAATGAATGTTCAAGTTGAGGGTTCACACACAAGAACACCCAATCACCCAAATCCCAGGGCTCACCAGGCACCAAGCAAACAGGAAACGGAAGCACAAAGAACTCAGGCACAGCTGCCAAACGAGGCCTTGACTGCCCCCCTCCTGCGGCTTCCGACACCCAGGCCCGGCCAGAGGGAAAGGCGCTCCCAGGCCTGGCACCACCCCTCCCTCCAAACCCTGAGCTAATCCCAAGCTCACACCGTCCAGCTGTGGACCCCACGTCAAAGTGCCTATGATGCTTCTTCTGTGAACCTATGAAGAATCTACTCTAGACGCCATCCCCCCAAAAGTAAATAAACGACACCCAAATTCAGAATCTCTCATCTGCAGCTGTCATGCTTCAAAGTTTAAGAACCGGGTCGATCTGTCACTGCTTCAATCACCTAGCACCAAGGAACATTCTGGAAGGGCAGTGACTCTGAAGTAATCAAAACTGGAAACATGTCTCTTTTTCAAAAGTTTCCTTGATAACCCTGATGATTCAGCTCCCTATGAAAAAATCAGTAATAATCTAGGCAAACAGATACCAGCGTGCTCATAAATTTCCTATCAGCATTTTGCTGATTCCACAAATATTTACTGGAGACCTGCCAACGTGCAAGGGCCAACATTCAAAAATCATTAAACAAACATTTATACAGAGCATCCAGCATCAGGCCACACCACGACCTCACTCCAGCACTTCCTTGCCAACGTGAGCCCCACCTGGGACCGATGTGAGGGGGACCCGCGCAGCCAGTTCAGGGCCTGGCACAGTCCGTCCACAATAAACAGATGCTCCCAGGTACCTATTTATCAGGAGGCAAGCCTGGGGCCCCGTCACACACCCGACACGAGACCACGTCACATCGTAAACGCCAGGCCTGGGACACACACCCCTGATCTCCTACCTGACACGAGACCACGTCACATCATAAATGCCAGGCCTGGGCCACCCCCCAGTCACCTACCCCACGCAAGACCACGTCAGATCATAAATGTGGGGCTTGGGATGCACCCCAGTCACCTACCCGACAAGAGACCGTGCCACATCGTAAACGCCAGGCCTGGGACACACACCCCTGATCACCTACCTGACACGAGACCATGTCACAGCATAAGTGCAGGGCCTGGGACCACACGCCCCCATCACCTACCCAACACGTGCTTCACATACTGGTGCCCCTCCCAGGATCACAGCAGGGAAGTGGCCATGCCTGAGGCTGGGCAGGTCCGTCACAAAGGTGGCACCGAGCAGGGCCTGGCAGCACCTGCTCAGGTAGCTACAGCTAGGACCTCACCCTCCAGGCCCTGCCAGGAGCAGCAGGCCTGCCGGGCCACAGAGCATGGTGCTGGGACGGCTCTAGGGAGAGGCAGCCGCCGGGCCACCCAGACCCTCAGGCCCGCCCAGGGGCCGGTGCACGGGGCGGGATTCTCAGTCCCAGGCCCCCAGGTAGCAGGACGGCCAGGTCCGTGTGCCCAGAGTCGCCCCTCTGGGCTCGTCGTGGTTCGCGCTCTGCCCCCAGAACGTCCAGGAACAGCTCTGTCCTGTCTCCAAGGACTCTCCCAGGCACTGGGGTGGACAGGAGGAGCTGAAGGAGTCGGACGCAATGGGGGGCAGGCTTGGAATACAGGACGAGGTCACAGGGAGAGACTCAGAAGGCCAGGCTACGAGGGCCAACCCCATGGAAGCCCTCAGAGACGAGGGCAGGTGACAGGGTCAGAGGCGGGAAGCGGCAGAAGAGAGGCCACGGGGCCATGCAGCGTGGCAGCTGCGGTCCCTGCCACGCGTCCCGTGGACTCTGGGCGCCCTCGGGGCCGTGCGCGGGGCCGACCTGGGTGCCGGTGGTGCTGCCTGATCACGTGGGCCTTCACGCTGTGCTTGGAGGCAAAGAGCCTGTGGCAGCTGGACACCGGACACCTGCTCTTCGCAGCGGCCACGTCCTGCAGGTGCTTCTTGGAGTGAATGTAGAGGCTGCTCCGTGCGGAGAACCTGGCACAGCACCCTGGGCAGAGAGAGGGACGCGTGTTAGCCTGAGGGTCCCCGTCCCGGCAGCACCCAGACAGGGCACGTCCCCGCTCTGCCCCCGGCAAGCGCCCTCAGGCAGCATCACGAGGAAGCCTGAAGTCCTGCATCGGCCGCAGACAGGACACGTGACCTGCACAAGCAGGCTGACCGCCTCCATTAAGCTGCTACTGGAAGAAAACCTGCGACTCCGTGACATCTGGGGCTGGAGACCACCCCAGAGACCCGCCACTTCCTCTCATTACGCCCCTGAGAAGCTGTTGCCCAGATGGGCCGAGCAGATGGCCGGGAATCAGAGGCAGGAGGGGAGCCCGGAGTTGGCCCTGCCCAAGTCCGCAGAGCAGACACACACCCGGGGCAGAGGGAAACAGGCAGGCCCAGAGATACAGCCACCCTCCTTCATGCCTCGACGTCCCACTGCTGGAGCTCGGCACGGCGGGGTCACGGGAGGGAAGAGGGGTTCCTGACGGCCACAAGCTCGTCACCTGGTAGGGACACATAAGCAGCCAGCTGTCCTAACACAGGCGGAATAAAGCCCGGGGTCAGGCCACCCAGCGTTCCGGGAGCAGAGGAGAGCGCCCCCGCGAGGAGGGAAGGTCTCAGGAGATAGGTCACGTCTGAGGTGCCGGGCGGCGTGGCCACCACAGCAAGGAGGTGCGGCCAAGGGGCTGCCAGGCCAGGCTGTGGGGAGCTGCAGGACCGGCCCCACCCGTGTACGGCCGTCTCGACCCCCTCTGTAAAGCGGGGCCTCCACGGTACTCACGACGCCCAGGAAGGACGCCACGGCGCTATCACGCTACAGCATGTCAGGGAAGGAGACGGGGTCGCTGGGGGCTGGAGGAGGGCTACTGCAGGAAAAGAGGCTACGCAGAGAGGATACGGCCACGGCAGTAAGGGCTCTGCTACCCCTGAGAGCAGTTCTGAACTGATTTCGTTTTCAAACAAAACTTCACGCCCGTTTGCCAGGTCAGGCTCAGGTCAGGCTCAGGACAGGGCACTTGGGAAACACAAGAGAGAAGAGACATCTCTGGTCTTGCCCCCGGGGGCCCTGTCGCCACGCGTGCTCCACACCCCCTCCCAGCTGGGACCCTCACAGAGACTTCCAGGCTTATCGCACGGCCTTCCCGAGGGCGGGGTCGACCACCACAGGGACGTCATCATGCTGCTGCCAGCAGAGAGTTTCTACTTGTAGAGATACTTGCGAATTCGACAGGGAACAACGCAGGTATCATTTTAATTTGTATTTCCTTTGACGATCAGAAGTAGGACCATTTTTTCATGTGCGTCAACGACTACGTTTTCCTAATTACGACATAACCTATTGAGACTTGTGCCACTGCTTTACAAATTAAGGATATTCACACACAGCCCCACGCATTTCTACCACGTTACCACCCCGCCAGGGGAAGGGCAGAAGCAACTTGTCAAAGACAGACTTCCCTCCAAACCCCAGCTCGTCAGGAGTCTGCCCAGCTCGCACCCACATTCCGTGGGCTCCACGGCAGGCTGGAGGCCCAGAGAAGCCCCCCAGGCACACGCCGCCCTCAGCCCGCCCCCGTCCACGCTCGCTGCCGTGCTGCACTCCCCATCCTCTCCTCCTCCGGCTACTACTATGGGAACGGCGGGGAGTGGCGGCTTCTTAACTTTTTATTAAGAATGTTCCGAACACCTACAAAACCAGAGAAAATGGTGAAATCACCCAGACTCCAGAACTGTCAGCTCTCAGCAAGTGTGGCAAAGGGTCCTGGGGTGCCTCCGCCAGCCCGCCCTCACCGCCACACCCTTGACCAAGCGCTGCCGGTCACCCTGTGTCAGACCAGCGCAGAGCTCTCAAGGATGCACGTACCAAAAGGAAACTCCTCCCTCCTCCGTCGCCAGCCCTGCCCCTCCCTCTTTGCCTCAACCGCCTCAAGAAGGAGGGGAGCCTCGCCCCGCCCACCCGCCGCCGCCATCGCCGCAGGGGTTAGGGCGCCCCCCAAGGTCTCGCCAGCCGCCCGCGGCCCCTCAGCTCCTGGCACCGGCCCACTGGCCTCCTTTCCCAAACCTGGTGTTCTCTTGGCCCAGTGCCCACCTGGCCCCTCGCGTCCTCCTCGTCCTCCTCAGGCCCCTCCCGGGGCGCCCGCTGTTGCCCACCCGCACGCGGGGCAGTTCCCAGGGCTCGACCTGCCGGCAGCGGCAGGTTACTGATGTCCTCTCGGCCCTTAATTAAACTCCCTGACCAGCTGGGCCCCCACCAGCCCCACTGGACAGAAGCAGAGAAGAAGCAGGGCTGGGAGCCGCACGCAGGCGCCTTCGTGGCACCTGTCCCGCCCCCAGCCCGCTTCTCAGGCCCCAGCAGCACCTGCTCCGCCTCCCGAGCATCTGTCAGCAACGTCCGCGGGCACCTGGAACACGGCGCGTCCGCACCCACCTCCTGCCTGTGCCCCGCGTCCCCGTCTCAACTGAGACGCTGACCCAGCCGCCACGCCCTCCACAGCACCCGCTCCTGAACCCTCGCCAGGCACCATGCATTCTAACTGCCGCCTCTGCCGTCTACGCCGTCCCTCCCTTCCCAGCGCCTGCCCAGGCACCGGCCCATCTGCCCAGGACCCCAGACTCAGCCTAAACCTCCACTGTGGCCCCATCACCCCGCCTAGAGCCCTCAGCCTGCTGCCCACACCGGCCCTTCTGCCTCCACCGCCCCTGCCTACTGGGAGCCACTCCCCCACCCCAAGAACCCTCTGGGTGACCTCCTCTGTGCACCAAGCACCCTGCACGTCAGCTGTGTGCCTGTGGCCCCAACCGGAGCCCTGGGGAGAGGCGGGCCTGTGCGTGATTAGGCCACCTGGGCTCCATTCCAGAAACTGCTCAGCTGCAAGTGGGTCTTTGGCATCCCCTTCTCCAGGTGAGGAAACTGAAGCCCAGAGAGCCTTGCCTGAGGTCACTGATTCGGGGGGGTGGAGCCAGTGTTCAACTTCACACCCCAAGGGACCCGGCCCGCCGTCCCAGAATCGTGCCTCTAAAACGCCAGCCTGGCTTCACCGCTGTCCAGTCACAGCGTGAGGAGCCACGGCTGAGTCCGAGACACGTGCCACGTGCCGAAATGGGCTTTCTTCACATGTTCCTTCAGTGGATCCTCACAACCGTCCAACCCAGAGGGGACTCAGCAGAGCGCCCCCCGCAGGGCCCAGTCCCGCGGCCTCACTCTGAATCTGCTCTTTCCGACACACTGCTCCCAAGACCCGGCCACCGGCTAAAACCAGCCGAGCCCACCTCACAGTGCAGCCGACACGACGCACCTCGAAGCAACTTCCACGCATAGCGTCCAGGCGGCCGTGGGGCCGGCTCACACCTACCTTCCACGGGACACGCGAAGGGCTTGGTGCCCAGGTGGGTGACGCTGTGGCCCTTGAGGTGCTCGGCCCTGGTGAACGACTTCCCGCAGCCCTCGACGGGGCAGGGGAAGCGGCGGTCCTCGTCGTGCTTCCTGCGGGACACAGAGCAACAGGCAGTGACCACTCACAACCAGAGTGCTCCATTCAGGAGGAGCAGCCTCCCAGAGACCCTGACGAAGCCACCTCCCCCCCTCAGCAACCCCGCTCCTACACAGGCTGTCCACACTGCAGGGGACATCACCTCACGTACACACAGTCTTTCTCTAAGTAGACACCTCAGATCCCAACTGTGCAAGTACAGACAAACCACCCAACCTCTCTGGCTCCCAATGCAAAACAGGAGAACAAGGGGCTTCCCTGGTGGTACAGCGGTTAAGAATCTGCCTGCCGATGCAGGGGACATGGGTTCAATCCCTGGTCTGGGAAGATCCCACAGGCCGCGGAGCAACTAAGCCCATGCGCCACAACTACTGAGCCTGTGCTCTAGAGCCCGCGAGCAACAACTTCTGAGCCCACGGGCTTCAACTACTGAAGCCTGCGCACCTAGAGCCCGTGCTTGGCAACAAGAGAAGCCACCACAAAGAGAAGGCCACGCACCACAATGAGAAGCCCCCGCTCGTCGCAACTAGAGAAAGCCTGCCCGCAGCAATGAAGACCCAACGCAGCCAAAGATAAAATAAATAAAAATAAATAAATGTATAAAACAAAACGAAACAAAAACAGGAGAACAAGAGCTTCAGTGTCACAGCTGCTGAGAGGCCGAACAAGGGACACGGGCCAGGCGCCGAGTGTCACCTGCACAGAGGCCCAGTCCTCCAAGGCGTCATCACCGCCGCGGGAAGTTTGTAAAGACACGACGAAGGCTTAGTCTATAACCTTAATTTTTTTTTTAATATCAAATTGCATATTAAGTATACGAGTTAAACTTAAAAACAAGTACACACAGAAAACACTGACTTTGGGGGATCAGATTCTGTGTGGTTTTCTTCTTATAAGGTTTCTGAATTTTCCAAGTTATTCACGTTGGTTTGTTTTTTATAGCTTAAAGAAATCCAAAGATTATTCCACCCACTGGCTTCTACTAACAAACAACTCACCTGTTTCCAAACTGACAGTTCAACCAAAATGTAGAGATTACCTTTTGTGCCTCAGGAGTTTAGACATGCTGGTAAAGGTCCAGCCACAGCTGTCAGAATCACAGATAAAAGGTCTTTCGCCTTAGAAAGGAAAAAAAATCACACCACGTGATTACAAACGTGAGCTGCGCCGGCGGCAGATGGGGTCCAGGCGCCCCCGGCTTCTTACCTGTATGGCTTCTCAGGTGGATCTTCAGACGACAGGCTTTGTCATACTGTTTGCTGCATCCAGGGAAGGAGCAAGAAAAGAGTTCCTGTTCCCTGAAGTGGGCCCGGTTATGGGAGAACAGAGCGCTCACTGTGATGAACGTCTTCTCACAGCCTGAACAGAGAAAACACAAACCCTGCTCACTGGCGTGACGAGAATCACACAACACGGCTAACCCAGTCACCACCCCAGGGCGCTGCGTGCACTGGGGCAGATGCGGAGGACGACGACTGGGGAGCATCTCCAGACAGTGAGAACCTTCGCAGCGAAAGTAGGGGTGGCTCAGGGCAGCCCACGGGTGCACACAGGCCACCTGTCCCCATGTGACCGGGAGACACAGCACCAGATCAAGAGAAAGTCCTCCAGCACAGCCGTGCGCCCAGTTCTGTAGCTCAGACCCTGTGGACACGGTGGGAACTCAACTGCCCAGGTCGCCCATGTGAGACCAGAAACCCAACGAGAGAAATCAGAGACTAAGGAACAAGATTCCGCCTGGTCGGGCTGAGCTTGGAAGGGCTGCAAACGACTGCAGTAACACCTGGGACTTTTTCACCTGTGGGAGTGAGGCCGCATCCCCCACCCTCGTAAACGTCCCCCAGACGTCCTTGGCGGCTGGCAGCCCGGCCTCTGGCAGCGCGCTTCTCTCTCCCTTTGGTCCATTCCCTCGGGGTTCCCTGATCTGTCAAGGGTCACTGGGGTCATCTTCGCTCACATGGCCTTTTTCCACCACCTGCATCGTCAACCCCGGCTGAGCCACCAGACTTTGCACGTCACTAGTTCTCCTTTGACACAAAGGTTCAGTGCTCAAACAGGGCAGAAGACACGAGGCTACGAGATGCTGGCCAGGCGTCTCCGCTGCAGCGCTTCTCAGAGCCTTTACGGTGCTGCCAGGTGCGCACAGCACTCTGCGGGACAGCCCAGGGAGCCCCACTTTTCACAGCGACACTTAACTGGGAAACGCCCATCTTCCTAAATGCCTTACAAGCCTCCTCTCCGGCACAAATGTGTCTGTGCCCAGCAGCCCCAGACATTCCTTACTTCGGGCCTTGGTGTCTTCTCACACTCCGTCAGGGAGGTCTGAACAGGCTGAGTCAGTCTCTGGCTCAGCAAGAAGCACCCTCCCCCAACCGACAGTGAAGCCTCCTGACCCAGCTCTGCAATCCCTCCCACTGGAGCCTCCTCAGCGCCCCACTGCGTCTACCTGGGTCACCCCTCAGGACCCTCCGGTCTGGAACATTCACGCAGCTTCACTGGTCCCTCTCCTGCTCCCGCCCACCTCAAACCAACACCCCGCGTACCATTCACCTCAAAACCCCCAGGGTGACCTCGTGCCCAGAAGCAGGCTGGACCCCTGGTCCTCCTGGTACTATGCTCAGAAGGATGCCCCTGAGCTTTTTACTAGAGAGCGGCCCGCAGACCGCCGCCAGATTCCGAATGCAGGACCAAGCGTTCGGAATCAGTGGCCTACAGCCATGCTCTCCACGGAGACGGGGTGCACAGGACAGGACAGGGCACGCGGGAAGAAAACACGGGAACCTGGTAACGTGAATTTTCTTCCGCCCTTTCAAAATCCCACATGTGAGTGCGCTTCATAACATACATTCTAAGGAGCGCACTCCGCGTCCATGACGCATCAACAGGGTCGCCGGGCACACACTCGCGCTTCTCTTTTAAGGAAGGGCACCTGGGAGGCCCTCGGGCACCCTGCCCCCAGCCCGCCCCACTGCCCCCATTCCCTGCCTTGGCTCTGCAGCGTGGCCCCCGCACCGCAGCCCCTCCTTCCCAGGCGGGAACCTTCTCTCGTGAAGACACACACTCCCCGCGAGAGCAGCTAGAGCTGCCTATCCCGGTAGAGAGTTCAGGGCACTCACAGCGGAGAAAGACCCCTCCGCCCACAGCATCCACCTGCCCAGAGTCTCTCCGTCTGAAGATAAGGACGACTTTCAGAACTTTACGCAACTGTGAAGCCCGAAGGAAACAACGCTTTCAACGTCACAATAGTGGATGCACCGCACCTCCGCGATCATCCCCTCGGCGCCTTAAGGCCTCGCCTGGGCCGCGTGGCCCTGCGTCCCTGCAGCCCGGGGCACGCGCCTACACGCCGGACGGAGCTTTTCTAAGTGACGAGACCTGCCTCAAACTCCCGTCTCCGGGCCCCGCCGGCGCCGCTCACCGGGAAAGTCGCACTTGTAGGGCCGCTCGGGCTCGAAGTGGCTGCGCTGGTGCGAGCTGAGCTTGGCGTGCGTGGGGAAGCGCTCGGCGCACACCTCGCACTTAAACAGGCTCTCCTGCTCGTGGCCCTTCATGTGCGCCCTGAGGTTGTACACGGTGGTGAACTTCTTGCCGCAGCCGCCCACCGGGCAGCCGAAAGGCCGCAGCTTGTCGTGCGACTGCAAATGCCGCTTGAGCTTGTACGACGTGGTGAAGGCCCAGCCGCAGCCGTCCAGCGGGCACTTGAAGGGCCGCCGGCCCTGGCCGCCGCCGTGCGTCAGCAGGTGCACCTGGAGCTGGTGCTTCTTGGCGAAGGCGAGCGCGCACTGCGGCTCGGGGCAGCGGTAGCCGGGGCCGGCGGACGCGCGGCGGGCCCCTGCCGGGCTGGCGGCCTCCTGGCCGGGCGGCGGACGCCGGGACGGCGCGGCCAGCGCGAGGACGCCACGCTCCAGGTGCACCAGCAGGTCCTGGCCTCCGGCGACCCGGGGGCCCACGAGAGGCGCGGCGCCGGGGACCTGCGCAGGGCGGCCGGCCGGGCTCGCGGCGGCGCCGGGCTGGGGCTCGGTCTCCCGCCGCCCCGGGGCTTCGGCCGCGCCGCGCGCCACTTCCAGCAGCACCACGAAGGAGTCGCCGCCGCCGGGGCCCGCCGGCCGGGCCTCCCCGCGCCGCGCCCCCTGCGCGCCGTCCTCTGGGTCCCGCAGCAGCAGCAGCCGGCGGTGCGCTGAGCCCGGGGTTCTGCGGGTCCGGCCGGGGCCGCCGCCGAGCTGGGGTCCGCGTGGGGCCGGGGCCGCAGCGGCGAGCCGCGCCGGCGCGTCCATCTTGGGCCGCTGCGCGTCCAGCCACCGCCTCGCCGGAAACGCCACCCCATACGCACGCACGAGGAGCGCGACGCCGTGCGCTACGCACGCGAGTCGGCGCCAAAGCCCGGCGCGGAGTGCGGCCCGGCGCGCGCCGGAGCCGGCCCGAGGCGCGCGTGCGCGGAGCGGCAGGCGGGGCGCGGGGCCTGCCGGGCCGCGTGACGTCAGGGCTCCGCGCGGTGGGCGGTGCAGGGTGGGTCGCTAGAGGCTGGGGTTACGCCCCCGGCCGGGTCGCGCGGCGGAACCGGCGGAACCGTGGGTCGGGGGCGGTCCGGCGGCTGGTAGCTCCGAGCGGTCCTGCCGCCTCGGTGAGCGCTGCCTCGCATCTCGTCCCCGCCCGGACCGACCGCGCCTCACCCGCGCGTTCCGGGACGATGACCCCGCGGCTGCCGTGCCCCCGCCCCCGGTCAGTCCTCCGCCGGCCGCGCCCGTGATCTAACAAAGCGCAGGTCCGGCTGTGCCCCCTCCCCGAGCGGCCCCGCTTTGTCCTTGCTCCCCACACCGGACCCCCGCCCCGCTCCCCCTCCTCCCGCAGGACGAGCGGGTTCCAGCCTGGGGGGGCCTCTCTCCGAGTGCCCTCCCCCCGCCCCTCAGACAAGTCTCAACTACAGTTGTTCCGTTCGTCCCTGTTCCCGTGAAGCCTCCGTGAGGACGGTGACCCTGTCGAGTCATTCACAGCTGTGTGCCCAGATGCTAGCAGTGGAGACGCTCAGTAAATGTGTATTAAATTGAGGAATGATGTATTATTAAAAGTTCTTCAGAAATACGGTGCTTCGGGAGACTTCCCTGGAGCAGTGGTTAAGAATCCGCCTGCCAATGAGGGGGTCACGGATTCGATCCCTGGTCCAGGAAGATCGCACCTGCGGCAACTAAGCCCGCATGTCGCAGCTACTGGAGGCCGCACACCTAGAGCCGGTGCTCCCCAACGAGAAGCCACGGCAATGAGAGGCCCGCGCACCACAACAAAGAGTAGCCCCCGCTCGCCGCAATTAGAGAAAAGCCCGCGTGCAGCAACGAAGACCCAATGCAGCCATAAATAAATTTATTTTTAAAAAAGAAGAAATAAGGTACTTCAGGAGTTCCCTGGTGGTCCAGAGGTTAGGACTCGACGCTTGCAATGCCGGTTGGGGAACTTAGGTCTCTCCACACGGCCAATAAATAAATAAAATAAGGTACATCAATAATATTGAAAAGAACAGGAAACATTTATATGTAAGAATTTGTGCCAAAAATAAATTGCTCCAAGACCATTCAGTGAAGGAAACAATCTTTTCAATAAATGGTCCTGGGACAACTGGTTATCCACATACACCAGAATGGGTTTGGACCTCCGCCTCGTACCAGACACAGAAACGAACTCAAAATGGATCCGAAGCCTAATGTAAGAGCTATAACTATAAAACTACTACATCTGTGACCTTGGATTACGCAGTGGTTTCTTAGCTGTGAAACTGAAAGCACAACCAATGAAAAGAAACCAGCTGGGCTTCAACAAAATTAAATACTCTTTTGAATCAAAGAACACAAACAAGAAGGTGAAAAGATAACCCACAAAATGGGAGAAAATTTTCAAGTCATATATCTGATGGGGATCTACTATCCAGAATATACTGTTTACAACTTGTAACTTAATCACAAACAGACAATCCAATTTAAAAATACACAAGGGATCTTAATAGACGTTTTTCCAAAGAAGAAATACAATTAGCCAATATGCCCATGAAAAAAAACTCAGTATCATTCATTACTCATCAGGGGAATGCAATTCAGAACCACAATGAGATACCACGCACACTTACCAGGATGGCTATAATTTTTTAAATGGGCAATAACAAGTGTTGGTGAGGGTGTGGAAAAATTGGAACCCTCATATATTTCTGGTGGGAATGTAGAATGGTGAAGCCACTGTGGAAAAAAGCTTGGCAGCTCCTCAAAAAGTCAAGGATAGAATTTCCTTATGACCCAGCAATTCTACTCCTAGGCATATATCCAAGAGAGATGAAAACCCATCCACACAAAAACTTGTATGTGAATGTTCACAGTAGCATAATGCTACATTAAAAAAAACAAAACGGAAACAGTCAAGTGTCCATCAACAGACAAAGGGGTGAACAAAATCTGGCCTTTCCATAGAAAGGAACATTATTTAGCCATAAAAAGGAATGAAGTACTGATACACGCTAAAATATGGATGAACGTTGAAGACATGCTAAGGGAAAGAAGCCAGACCCAACAGATCACATATTGTGTGATACCGTTCATGTGAAATGTCCATAATAGGTAAATCCGTAGAGGCAGAAAGTAGATTAGTGGTTGCCAGGGGATGGAGGGCAGGAAATTAGGACTAACTGCTAAGAGCCAAGGGATTCTTTTCGGGGCGATGGAACGTACTGGAATTAGACAGTGGTGATGACTACACAACACCGTGAGGCTACGAAAAACACCAACGTTTGTGCTTTAAAATGGTGACTTTTATGTTCTGTATGTCTCCATGAAACGTATATTGTTAGAAGTCCATGCAGAACATTGTTGGGGAGAACCCGCCTGCATATCCTGGGGAAGTTTCTGGAAAGACACAGACACTGCTAGCACCCTGACCGCTCTGAACCGAGGTGGGAAAGGGCTCTTTCACTCTACACTTCACTACCTTTGACACTTTTTCATTTTGTTTTAGATCATGAGTGTCTTTAATTTTTATAATTAAATATGTTTTCCCCACTGTGGAAAACAGTGTAGCAGTTCCTGAAAAACCTAAACGCAGAATTACCATCTTGAAACAGGAGGGAAGAGCGCAGGGCACAACCTTTAAAAGGTTGTGGATACGACAAAAACTGGTGAGAACCTATTAGGTCCAAGATGACAGAAGATCTGACTTCCAGTGGACGTTGAGCCTCATTACATGCTCACTGGAAATGCATCAGTTAAATGACACACCCACAGGGGCCAGGACAATTCCGAGGCTGAACATAAAAGGCCAAGAAGCAGGCAGGGGTCGAATTCCTGGAAATCCCTCCCCCTTCTCCAAGGTAGTTGGAATAACCCTCCCACTCATTAGCCTATGAAATTACCCAGCCCATAGAAACTAACCACTCAATATTTCGGGGCCTCTCGCCTTCCGAGCTGGCCCACCGTCTGTCTGTGGAGTGTTTCTCCCAGGGCCGCTCTCACCTTTTGAGACAGTCTGCATTCTGTCTATGGAATGTGTAGCTCTCTAAATAAATCCACTTCTTACCTATCACTTTGGCTCTCATTGAATTCCTTCTGCACTGAGACATAAAGAACCTGAGCTTCACCAAGTCCTGAGACCAGGTGTGTGATCTTACTTAAAAGACCATGGGTTTGAGTCCCAGCCCGAAGGTTTGAGTCCCAGTCTGGGTTTTGGCTGGGTTCGAATCCCATCTCAGTTGTGTGGTTTCAATATGACCCAGCAACCCCGCCTCTGGGTGTGAACCCAAAAGAATTGAAAGCGGAGACGGGAACAGATATTTGCACGCCCGTATTCACAGCAGCACTGCTCAGCACAGGTGACGGCACCCTCACTGCCCACTGGCGGTTGAGTGATAAATTAAAATGTGATTTATGGACTCAACAGAGCATTATTCAGTCTTAAAAAAAGAAGGAAATGCTGACACACGGGGCAACGTGGATGAACACCGAGGACATTATGCGAAGTGAAGTACGTCAGTCATGAAAGAGCAAACACTGCAGTACGTGAGTGCACTCACGTGAGTCCCTAGAGACAGACAGAGAGTGGGATGGTCGGCGCCAGGGGCTGGGGAGGCGGAAGGGCCGGTGTGGGCAGGTCTGTGTAATGAGGGCACAGATGCAGTCTGAGAAGGCGAGAAAGTTCTGGAGACGATGGGTGGTGATGGCCGCACAGCAATGTGAATGGGCTTAAGGCCACTGACTGCACACCTAAACATGGTTAAGATGGTAAATGCTATATGTTTTTTACCACAATAAAGAAAAAATGTTTTCATGAAAAACCTTTGGTGGCAATATGGATGTTTCCACTGCTTGATTTTTCACCTTTCAAGAGTGACTGACAATATTTTTTTTTTTCTTTTTGCGGTAGGCGGGCCTCTCACCGTTGCGGCCCCTCCCGCTGCAGAGCACAGGCTCCGGACATGCAGGCTCAGCGGCCACGGCTCACGGGCCCAGCCGCTCCACGGCACGTGGGATCCCCCCGGACCAGGGCACGAACCCGCGTCTCCTGCATCGGCAGGCGGACTCTCAGCCACTGTGCCACCAGGGAAGCCCAGACTGACAGTATTTTTAAAAACATTTTTAAATGGGTGAAATGAGTCCTGTTAAACGTTTGCCAAGGACTCTCCTTGCCCTCCCAACCACCCTGCAACAAGCAGGGAGGAGCAGGGGGGGCAGCTCATTCCCTGGGCTTGACTGCCGGTGATGGTTCGGTGATGTCTCAGGCACAGAGAGAAAGGCACATTCTAGAGGGATTCCGGGCATTAGGAGCACCGCAGACACTGTGCGTTCACCCTCAGTAACCCAGGCCCTGCCCTCCGAGCAGGTGGGTGTAGAAAGGGCTTGGGGCAGCCGGGGGGAGGAGAAGCGGAGGACACACGTGCACTTGTCATATTTGCATTTGGGGGGAAACCCCACCAGCCTAGATGCTGCTCTCCCAGGACCTGATAGGCTGAAAGGCCTCACTGTGGACTCTGAACGGTCAATGGTAGCATGCAGTCCTTCCGGAGCTGTGGCAGGAGTGGGGCTGGGCTGGGCCGGGCATTCCAATGTGCTTTTTTCCCCAACACCACCAGGCAGTTGACACATCTGACACCATCTACCAGGAGATCCCGCAGCTCAAGTGCTCAGGCCTGCCAGAGTGCCGTCAGATGCCCATTGCTAGTCAGGTTGGCACCTGTGCTTCTGACCCACCGGCTACCTATGGAGGGTTCCCATGACCCCCTCCTCAGGTTCAATTAACTTGCTAGAGCAGCTCAGAGAACTCGGAGAAACATTTTACTTAAATCA